CGCAGCCCAAAAATATCTGTTGTCAGGCTGGATAAAGTGCATTACCCAACTGTGTGTTGCCATTGTCCACTTGGACTGCTACCACAACAGGCATGCGCAGGTTCACTGTCCGTGGGAGCCTATTTCTAATGGATAGAGGTGTACTCTCTGTCACCTCATGAGGTAGGAGGAGCGGGCTGCCTCTCAGGGGTCTTTGGAGTCTTTTTTTTGCCCCCAATAGTGAGAATTGAACCCAAGACCTTCACACTGAGCTATACCTTGTCCTTTTTATTTGTTTATGTTTAAATTTTGAGACAGGGTCTCACTAAGTCAGTGAGTTGCCCAGACTGGACTTGAATGTGTGATCCTCCTGTCTCAGCCCCCTCTAGTGCTGAGGAGATTATAGGCATGTATCACCATGCCCAGCAGGGTTATCTTTTATAAGGCTAATGCCATTCACCAGGGGAGACGACTGCCCTGTATCATGTGCTTTCTAATGCCATCCCTTTGATGATTAGGCTTAAAAATGAATTCTGGGGGGGACATTACCACTCAGACCATAGCAGTACCTACAGGAAACGTACATTAGATTTAAAGGCACAAACAGATGGAAAAAGTTATATCATGCGAATAGTAACTTAAAAAATCTAGATACTGATATTAGGCAAAATAGACTTTAAAACAAAACTCTTATGTGGGATAAAGAGCAATATTTTATAAAAGGATCAATCCCTCAGGAATATATAACAAGTATAAACATATTTGCACCCAACAAAAAAGCATTAACCTGCGGGAAGCAAAGCCCCAGAGAAATGAAGGGAGGACGGGTTAATTCAACTGTCACAGTTGGAGACTTCAGTGCCTGACTCTCAGTAATGGGCAGAGATGATCAGCAAGGAAGCAGGAAACTTCCACAGCACTGTCAGCCCACCAGACACAACACATACCTCGCTCCTCATCCACAAAACGGGTATTTCTAAGAAAGAAGCATTTTAATTGATGTCTTAGTTAATTTTCTTGTTACTGGGACAAAATACCTGACACCCATAAATTAAAGCCGGAAAGGTTTATTTCAGCTCACAGTTTGTAGAGATTTCAGTTGGCTGGCTCTAAGACATGGTGTCACGGCAGAAGGGCATCACAGAGGACAAACAGTCCATGGCAGGGCAGCAAGAGGCAGCAAAGCAGCAGCAGCTGTGAAACAAGCTTCCCCTAACCTTTTATCCCATCCAGGCCACAAGCCTTTTGGGTGGTGCCGCCCACACCCAGGGTGGGGCCTTCCCATTATTGGTACAGAATTATGCTAAACCAGTCAGTGGACTAGTCTAGTTATTACACCCTTAATCCATACTCACATGTCCTTAATCCACAGGCACACACCCAAGACCCAGCCACCTCTGAAAAGCCCCATCTAGGACTGCAGGAAGCCTTGGGGGGACATCTAGACACAGGCCATAACAACCAATGTGCAAAACAGTGGAGTGATGGTTTATTACATTATCTTCTGTTTTTAAACCTAGGTGCTTTCAGTTATAAAAGTCAGTTCTTTATCTCTAATAATGTTGTTTTAATTTGAAGTTCGTTTTGCTGTGGTGAGCTTAACTTTTGAGTGGAAAGTTGGGGGAGCACTGCAGTGGACACAGCCATGGCACCTGAGTGTCAGTGGCCTTGCTGGTCTGTGCAGTGACCTTCACCTGGCACTTCTGTAGTTGGAAATGCTTGGGTGCGTGTCACTGGAGGTGGCAGGAGATCCCCTGCCTGATGCCAAGTGTGTACTTGTTCTGGGGTCTTGCTGTGGGGCCTGCAGAGGGCTGGCATGCAGGGTGTAGCTCGTTTGCACTGGTATGGCATTTTTCTTAGTTTTAAATTGTTGCACCCAGATAAAAGCATGAGGCTCCCTTGTTCAGCCCCCTGAGCATTCTGGAGCTGCTGCTCAGCACCTGAACATTGATTGTCCCTGGGCCTGCATGTCCCTGTGATGGCCTCTGCCTGTCAGTGTCGTGCTCCTCTGTGTGTCTATCCCAACCTGAGTGTGCTCATGTTTGTAAGGCAGGGACGGAGAAGTTGGAGACTCCAGGATCCCCGGGCTGCACTGAGCTGAGCAGATGCAGAAGGTGTCTGTGAGCAGGCTGTGAGAGCTCGTGTGCTCCAGAGCATCCGGGTCCTGCTGTGCCTCCCCCTCAGTGCCTCTGGAGTCCCAGGGAGCGCTTGGCAGGAGATGCAGTTGAACTGAGATGGGGCACTTGTCTCCCTGCAGCTTAGGCCTGGCTGTGTGTCAGCCGGTGCTCAAGGGGCTCCCTACCCAGCCAGCACAAAGCACGGGCTTTCCTTGTCACTGTGGGTGCAGCCACAAGACTTGATGCTGCTGCCCGTGCCTGCTGCCCCAATCACCTTGGGCTGCTGTAGCAAAAAACACCATGGACTGAGGCTGAGTCTGAGGTCAAGGTGTGGCCGGTTTTGGTCCTGGTGAGGCCTCTCCTCCCGGTTTGCAGGGCCACCTTGCTGTCCCCTCCTATGATGAGGACACAGTGGAAGCAAGCTGTCTCGTGTGTCTTCTCCTGAGGTCACTATCCTCATAAAGAGGGCCTCACCCTCGGAAAGACCCCTTGTAAAACCCTGACACAGAGCCTGGGCTCTCCACAGAGGAGTTCTGGAGCCCCGCATTTCTGGTTCTCAGCACTGGTTCTCATTTCTGGTTCTCAGATGCTATGGAACTGGAGCTGTCTCCCTGATGTGCTCATCCTGTGTGTACACTTGTGCCTTCTCTTTCTAGAGGTGGCCCAGCCCCCTCCTTGGACCCTTCTTTCTCCTCCCCTCCCCGGCTAAGGCAGGGACTCCCTGCACCGTCCCGGTCCCACGGTGTGGCTCTTACCTTTCTGTCTTTCTTCCCTGTGAGAGCAAGCACTGTATGGGCTCAGGTTTGAGGCCCATGTGCTTGGTGTAGGCCTGGGGATGCTGCAGAATGAATGGGTGGGTGGACTAACAAGTGAATGAGTGAATGAATGATGAATGAGTGATGTTTCTCGGCTCTCCCTGCCCAAGTGCCACTCCTCTGTTTGCATACCTGCACTGTACTGCTGTCAGAGTCCACTTCTGATGTCCCCTCCTCTACCACCCTGGTCCCCTAGACTCGCAGGTACCGCCCAGGCTTGTCTTCCCAATTACAGAGGTTAGAGCCGTCAGGACACTCAGGCCTGGACAGCGTGATGAGGCGACTATACACGTGCCCATGTAGGTCCCCTTCCTGCCTCCCTCCCAAGCTCCCTGGCTGCACCCCTGGGGGCTGTAATCATTGTCACTCACTGGGTCCGGGTCTCTCCCTGCCTGTCTCAGGGTTTCCTCTCTCTTTCAGGACTGCTTTCTCTAGACAAGGCAGGACACGTGTGCACACTGCATCCCCTCACTCCCCCGGTGCACCGGTGTGTGCCTCACGAGCTTTGTGCACACAGCAGGTGTTCGGTGGGTGGCTGTGCAGCAGTGTCTTAGCACATCAAGCCACGCTGAGAGGCTGATGGAGAAAGGATGTGGAAACCACAGAAAGAGGCTGCTCTTTGCTCTGAAGTCACCGGCCGTTCTTGCTTGTTCTTGCTGGTGTGGTTACTTGTGAGCCTTATGACTCATTTCAGCAGGTGTGGCGCAAAAATGAATTGATGGTTGGGGCCCTTTGTGGAAGTGCTTAAGAGGCCCTTGCACATGTTTTCATAAAGGGGGATTCTGAAATGACACAGGGAGTTTTCTAAGAGCCAGCAAGTAGCCGTTGAACGAGCAAAGCCTTTGCATTCAGCGAAGACTTGAGCAAGCTGTTGACCTGCTGTAAGTTGAAGTTTCTTCCTATGAATGGGGGAAATCATAGGTGCTTCTCCAGGAGCTCAGGAGCACCAAAGTCAAGTGTGTAAAGCAACTATCTTAGTGACTTTCCTCTTTGCTGCGACAAAATACCTGATAGCCACAATTTAAAGGAGAGGTTGAATTGGCTGTTTCTGAAGCCTCAGTTCTTGCACAATCTCCCAAGTCCCAGGCAGGAAGGGCATGGTGGAAGGGCCTGGTGAGGAGAGCTGCTCATGCCATGGAGAGCAGGAAGCAGAGGGGAGGGAGACCCACCCTTCCAGGCCACGCCCACAGTAACTCCCTCTTCAGACCAGGTCCCACCCCCTAACAGCAAATCAGTTCTAAGCCGGCAATCTAGACACCATCCAGTAAGTCTCACCTATGAGCGCATGAGGCTCTTGGGGGACATTCAGAGCTAAATCTAAACAGCCCCCAAGGTCTCTCACCACCTAGGTAGGGGCAGCTATCGTCCGCCAGGTGTGCTGGCTGGCTGGAACTTAGTTCCTTGTCCTATAAATAAAGTTACTCTGGCCTTGCTGGAGGAAGGAAGTGAGGAAGTTTCGGAGCCACCCCTTGTGGCTCTATCCTCAGGTTCTAGAGTAATACCTGGGAGCCACAGAGCAGAGCAGGTGAGAACCCAGATACTAAGGCCAGCTTCCCTGGCTGTCACCCCCACTGCCACTTGGTCACTGTCATGTTACCAAGTTATTCTCCCCTTCCTCCTGGGACAGGGGCACTTCTTAATGTGGGCATACCCATGTCAGAGGCTGCAGAATACCAGGTAATTTGGAAACTCTGGAACAGTGCCTGGCACACATGGGAGCTACATAGTAATGCCTGTTGCATTTATTACCTGGTGGATATTTTTTGAGCTGTATCCAATTCTGTCTGATGGGAGAATGGTGTAGGTACAGTCCTAGGGCTTAATTCTTGTAGTACATGTCTCACTCTACCTCAAAGGGTCTCTCCTGTTCAACTCTTGGTCAGACTTACAGTGAAAAGCTAAACAAAGAAAAAGAGAAAAAACCTCGCTTGCACAGAATATTCTAAAGAAAACTTGTTTTTTCCTGAATGTTGATAAACAGCACTCACTCCTACATTTAATGAGGATTTTATGTGGGCTTTGAATATAAGCAGCAGTTGTATCTGAAATTGTGTTTTGGGGTAGGGAATTAAAGTATTCATCAACTGAATATTTTTAAACTACCATTTTATGGAACTGCTGTGGCCAACTTGGTGATGTTTGATGCTGTCAGTATGCTTTGTTCTTAGAAGGTCACAGCTCCGTGTGCAGGAAGGGGCTTGGCTTCGTCTCTCTCCGTGCTGGTGAATGTCTTCCACAGGCACACCATGCCATGCTGGTTCTAGGGGAAGGAAACAAAACACCCAAAGTTCTCCGGGCCGCTGGAAAGTGGCTTTTGTGCCAGACAGACCCAGGGGCACTTAAAGCTTTGGGTCTTGGGCTGTCCCTTCTTTGAGCCTGAGTTTCTTTCTCTGTCCAGTAAGAATAATACTGTCACTGGTCTGGAGATGGATGGTGATGAACTGTGCCCAGCACCCTGGCTGGCACAGAGCAGTTTTTTTTTTTTAAATGGCAGCTCATGGTTTAGCTACTGCTTGAAGTTCTGACAGCAGGAGAGTTGTCCTGGTATGCCTACCTTGGGGCCACCCTGGGCTACTTCCTTGGCCTTGTTCTCTGACTGGCACAATGGGTAGGGTCTCACCTGCAGAGGAGGAAGGTGTGTGTGTGTATGTGTGTGTGTGTGTGTGTGTGTGTGTGTTGAGAGGCCTAGTTTCCTGTGGGTTTGTGGCTTTGCAGTGTTGTCCTGTTGACAGTCCCTGTGGGGTTTCAGGCAGGACCAGGAGGCAGGTGGTGGTGGATGGGGCAAGGTCTCCTGCGGTGGGCTCAGCCTTCCTGTCCCCTTCCATCTATTCAGCCTCTGGGCAGCTGCATTCACTGAGGGCTTCCTGAGGTGGGTGCTTTATGTTCCTCCCTCCACCTCTCAACCACCATGCAAAGAAGAGGAAGCCCAGTTGTGGAGAGGTTAAATAGTCATTGCAGGGTCAGAGTTAGTGAGTCTAGGCTGGGGATGAGAGTTGTGTCCTCTTTTCCAGGTGGTTTCCATGCAGGTGAATAGAAAGCAAGACATGGCGGGGGGGCGGTGCTCTCCCTGGAGCAGCTTCCTGTGAACTGCTGAAAGAGCAAAATGTTTAAAAAGCATCTTCTGTTTCCCCCACTTCTGAGCACATATGCTAGTTTTATTTTTTCCTGGGAACACACTGTACCAACTTTGTAACCCAGTTCTTATAGATGTAGCAATCCTGAAGACTTTCCTGTCCCTTGCTAGTTTTGGAACAGTTTCTTTATCCCAGAGAAGCAACTGATAACAAATGAATGACCAGGAGTATCCCAGGCAGGCACTGGCAGTGGTGGGGAGACAGCTATGACAACTCCTGTGACAGGAAAGGGACTTGACCCAGTACAAGGGGCTGTGAGGAAGGTAGGAGACCTGCATTTGGGTGGGGTGAGGTCTGGATGGAGGTGACTAGACAATGTGGCAGGAAGAGCTGCTTACTTGAAGGAATTCAGGTCTCTCAATGAAAAGAGAGAGGAAATGTTAAAGGATCCATTTTTTAAAATGTTTTTTTTGGTATCAGGAATCAAACTCAGGGCCTCGTCCTTGACAGGCAGGCACGGTGCCATGGAGCTATACCGCTGGCCCAGGATCCATTTTTTGTTTTGTTTTGTTTTGTTTTTGTTTTTCTTCTGGTACCGGGAATTGAACTCACGACCTTGCGCTTGCCAGGCAGGCTCGTGCCACTGAGGTAAATCCCCAGCCCCTAGGATCCATTTTTTAAATACCCACCAGAGGGCATGGCTAAAGATGTCCAAGGTGGGGCTTCCTTCCAGGCCTCTAGGGGTGAAAGACAGGGAGAAAAGGCAGGAAAATGGGCGTGGCCGAGGGTTTGGGGCAAGTTGGAAAGAAAAGGATGAGCTATGTTGACTTTAAAGCCAGAACGGAAGTAAAAGCCGTTAAACCGGAAGTGAAACTTGGTAGACCGGAAGTGAAGCCTAGTGGACTGGAAACGTAAGTGACTACTGTGAGGGTGTTTCATCTACCCACTTTCTGCTTAAAATCCTAGAGCTGAGAAGACTTGTTGGGGCAGGAGGAGCAGGAGAGTCATGGGCAGAGGGACTGCCCAGTGCACGTGTAGTACTTGGAGGCAGGACGGAGCCCTGCCCTGTTGTAGTGAAGATGGTGGTCTTGACTAGGTAGTGGCGTTGGAGGTGCACAGCGTGGTCTAATATGCAGGGTCATGCACCTGTTGTCAGTAGGACCTTTTCCTGTGTCAGTCGGTACAAGGGGGCTACCGTGCCTCAGAGCCTGCTTGGATGCCTTCATTCATGTGTAACAGTGTTGGGACTCAGATGACACAGCTTGAAGGTTATGAAGGCAGTTAAGGGATGGAGCTGCAGCCTGACTCTAGGTCTGACAGAGAAGTCTAGGCTTTTTTTTTTTTTTTTTGTCTTACATTCTGTAGTTGTCTGGAGAGGCCCAGAATGTTCAGGGGCAGGAACCATGACTATTGGAAAGCTTCCTGGAGTAGGTGGCTTATAGGCTTTACCAGGCCATGTATGAATAAGACGCAGGGTAGAAGAGCACAGGGTTGAGAGTCAAGAGGCTAGGTTCAAATTCTGTTTCTCTGTGTACTTCTGAGTGAGATGCTCCCTCCTATGAGTGTCTCATCCCATCTATACATGCGGAGGTTTGCTGAATATTTTTCTGTTTGGTGTGATTGACATCTTCTCACAAATACCTTTTTCCACCCCAACCTTCTTTGTGGTTTCAGATCCCAGTGAACGTCCTGGCAGGGTCAGTGTACATGGCAACAAAGTAACAGACGCCAGGCCTTTCTGGCCATGCAGGCTGACAATGCTGCTTTGAAATTCATCCAGTGGGGTGATACCACAAAGGAAGTCCTGCTGCCAGGCAGTGCTGTCCTTAAATGCTGTGTTCAGTGGAAGCTTCCATGAATTATCCCTGCTGTGAGCCTTAGTTTCTTTATTGGTAAACATAGAGATGATATCATCCAGCCCTTAATCTCTTTGACCCCATTGCCCCATCCTGAGTGAGTCAGGGTGATGTAGCACAGTACTGCTTCCCCTTTCTGCAGAAAAAAAACTCCATGATAGGAATGATAAGAGGAGATAAGGAGCTTGGTAAACAGATTAAAATGTACAACACAGCTTTAGTGTGAGCTTTAGGATTTCTTCCTTGTCTGTGTGTAAGTCTCGCTTGGTTTTGCCTCCCAAAATACTCATATCTATACTTCACCCCAGTTTCTTGGTCTTCTACCAGACAAAGGCTTAGCCTCTACATTGTCTGTCTCCTCCAGGGAACCCTCCACCTTGATCCTGAAATGCCTGCTCTGAAATGCATGCCTCTCTGACTTTTCGGGGCTTATGGTTCCCTTCTGTGCTAAAGGTCAGGTTCAAGCCTGTCAGTGACTTATAGTCCTTTCTCTCATTAGGTCTCCGACTCCAGAACACAGGCAGTGGCTCTCAATCAATAGTAATGATGCTGACTACTGTCAACCTAAAGTACCAACAGAGGGAGTTGCTCTCTAGGGAAACTAATTCCAGGACATACAGGGGTTTGCAATCTGGAATATGTGTACTATGTCAGATTGTAGGTATGTCTGAGGAGCTTGAGGCAAGAAGAAACTTTTATTTATTTATTTATTTTAAGGAGAAACTTTTAAAAGCAAAAAGGAGAAGTATATGCAGGCTGTTTTGAAGCAAAAGTTCATTAGTTCCAGGACTTATCATAGGCAGTGATGTGCATGTTGACTATTACACAGTTGGGTTTCATTTGGACCGCCTGTTACTGGAAAGATGTTCTCATAGAAGTGGCCTTAACTGCAAAGCTATGGTTTTGGTAGAGGTTTGTGTGTGTGTGTGTGTGTGTGTGTGTGTG